AGGAGGGGTCGCTATGAGTCAGGGCTGACTCGACGGCACATAACAACAACAACAACAATATATGGCATAGGAGCTCTGGTAGCGTAGTGCCTAAGGCACTTGACTGGTAACCAGAAGGCTAGCAGTTCAAACCCACCAGCCACTCCTCGGAAGGAAGGTTGGGCAATCTACTTCTGTAGTGATACCGCCTCAGAAACTCAAGGAGGGGTCGCTATGAGTCAGAGCCAACTCAACAGCACATAATAACAACAACAACAATATATAGCATAAGTAGACTATTAAAAAAAATAAATAAAAATATACCAAAGTGCTTAACAGAAAATAAATTGTAATAAAATTAATGCAACATTTGCCTAGTTCCCACACTGTAAAATAATATTTCTAGACTCAGTCCAAAATTACAGTACAAACCCTATTATGTATTTCATGTTAAAATCAAAAGACTACAATACAATATTCACCTTTTCCAACAGTAAGTATGCATCAGACGATTGAAACATTTCATGATAAAGATAACACTGCTGATCACAAAACTAATCTAATCTACTTCTTGGTTCAATTTTCAGTAGAAAAGCTTGGTTCAAGCATTTTAAATGGAAATAAAAATCCATTAAAGGTAAATAAAAGATCAGCAGTTTAGTAATTTAACCAAATCCTTAAAATGATTTATTTGATCAACTATTGTTGTTGTTGTTGTTGTTGTTATTTGCCATCGAGTCAGACCTAACTCATAGTGACCCCTCCTTGGGTTTCCGAGGCAGTATCACTACGGAGGTAGATTGCCCCCTCTTCCTTCCGAGGAGTGGCTAGTGGGTTTGAACCACCAGCCTTCTGGTCAGCAGTCAAGTGCTTTAGGCACTACACTACCAGAGCTCCTTGATCAACTGCATGTAGTTCCTTAAAATATATACTGCTAATGACTTTCAAAATAAAGTTGCTGAGAGCGCAAACGATGGTGTGCTCCTCCTGCCTTCCCCCTAATTGGACATTTATTACAGGTATTAGTATCAGCACTGATTTTAAAGCTAAGAACACTCAACAAAAAGGCTCAGAATTCTTGGAGATTCCATCCTCCCCATTCATGTCAGCAAACCTCGTCTAGGACAGGAGTTCCCTACAAACTTGCACAGAGCAGTCACGTCCTTAGAACTCAGACTGGCACAGTATTCCATGGTGACATGATACCTTCCCTTTGTTACATTCCATTTCTACAACATTCTGAACAGCTTCCCATTCTCCAACTAATTGTTCTTCTTTCATTCTCATTCACATGACTTTTCTTGTCCAGTCATACATAACAATTTTGGTTGTTAAACCATAAATAAAATAATCTCTAATGTTGCTCCTAAACATGTGAACAAGGAATCAGATGTAAGTGTGGGGCTTAATCTGAGTGGTGGTTCCTTCCTCCTGTTGTTGTTGTTATGTGCCGTCGAGTCAGCCCCGACTCATAGCGACCCCTCCTTGGGTTTCTGAGGCAGTATCACTACGGAAGTAGGATTGCCCAACCTTCCTTCCGAGGAGTGGCTGGTGGGTTTGAACCGCCAGCCTTCTGGTTAGCAGTCAAGTGCTTTAGCCACTATGCTACCAGAGCTCCTGTAGGCTCTATTAAGAATCCAGTTTAGGGTATATGTAGAAATTGTCATTATGTTTTGCTGTGTATATTCTCAACAACAAAATAAATAAAATTTATTTAAAAAAAAAAAAGAATCCATTTTAGTTTCCTAAAGCATTAAAGAAGTTTTTAGGCAGAATACAGACTTTTTTAAAATATATATATATTTATTTTAATGTCTCTCTCTCATGCACATGTGCAGGTATGTATGTGCACACACAGCACATCAAACCATAACACAAATATTGCTACTTAGAATGAAGCTAAGATGATAGATAAATTAAAATACTAATAACAGGACAGGTGGTAAATTATGCAAAAAAATGTAAAGATAGTATGTGAGTAACTAAAAATTGGGAAATACTAACCTACTTACTACACAGACAACCTACAAATCCCCCCACCTGGCCATCGACCTCAAGTACAAAAGGAATCTAAGGAAAGGGTTGTGGCTTTCAAATGCCAGTCCCTAAGCGTGAGTGAGCTTCATATTGTAACAACTCAGGCTGACATTTTCACAATGCCTGGAATGAATGCAAAGTCACGTCACATTTGCAATAAGGATCTGTTTTTCTGGTACTGAAATGCCAAAATGACTGGGATAAACTGCAAATAATCTCACAGAGTAACGTGAATGGGCAGAAAGGTGGTCATGAACTTCAATTCTTCCCTTTTATTAATTAGTTAACAAGCTCCTCTAAAGCAGAAACCTTGCACTTCTTCTGTATTTTTCACAGAATATGGTACAGTCTAGGCTCATGGTAGGCACTGAATAAAATAGATGCTAAACTACTCTATATAACATCTCATAAATCCACAATTTTAATAATCCATAAACTAAACAGATTCAAGAAGGCTCAGACAAAATCACAAATGATGGAAATGTTTGCAGTTGGAATCTCTTGGTATTTTTACCTTTCCAGTCTCCCACAAGCTCTTTAATTGCCCCAGCATGAATCCATTCCTACAATCACACTAGTCATTGCACTTGCACCACGTTGCTGCCCCATTTCTTCACTTCCTATAATCTTTCAAGACCCAGCTCAAATACCATCTCAATGGTGAAGCCCTTCCCTGATTACCCCAGGCCAAAGCTGAGCGCTTCCTCCTCCCCAATGCTCCCTCAGTAGTCCAAACATTTCGATAACCCTAAATAGCATCTGCAATTACTCAATTACATCTTCTTTTCTCTCCCCTACTAGACTGCATCCTCCTCCACAGCATGGCATGTTTTTCATCTCCGCATACCTGATCCCTACCATAAAGCCTGGCACCCAATAGATGTTCAATAAATGTTTGTTTACCCTTCCCCTTAATTTCACTGGGCAGAGTAAGCCACTATACAGGCTCAATGGTACATTTCTAATCATTTCAGGTTCTTTCAATTGCCACTTCTAAATACCTTCCTCTTTGATGGCCAAGGAAGAGAGCAATAAGCAAGGTCTTTCCCACGGAAAACTTTCCCTCCCCACTAAATCTCCCTTTTCTACACAGGCTTCAAAAAGCTCCTTAGCAGCAGTGTTCCCAACAGCTGTTATCACAGAAGTTCACATCTCAAGGGATGCATGTGCCTATAATAGCTGGAATGGTGCTAGAGATGCAGGGGCCACTCGGCTTCACACCTCCTCTAGCTGTTGTTGTTGTTGTTGTTGTTTGCCGTGGAGTCAGACCCAACTCATAGTGACCCCTCCTTGGGTTTCCTAGGCAGTATCACTATGGAAGTAGATTGCCCCATCTTCTTTCTGAGGAGTGGCTGGTAGGTTTGAACCGCCAGCCTCCTGGTTAGCAGTCAAGTGCCTTAGGCACTATGCTACCAGAGCTCCCTCCTCTAGCTGTAAGCCACACAAAACCAAGCCCCCAGCCATCACTCATAGAAACCTTGTAAGACAGAGAAGAACTGCCCCATAGAGTTTCCAAGGCTGTAAATCTTTATGGCAGCAGACTGCTTCATCTTTCTCCCAGAGAGAGGCTGGTGGCTTCAAACTGCTGACCTTTTGATTAGCAGCTCAATGCTTTAACTACTGCACAACCAGAGCTCCAGGTCTAAGCCAGGCCATCGAAATGCAAGGAGTCACAGAAAGGACATACAAGCCAATAAGAGAAAGCAAACATCAATCAAGTTGTCATTATACATCTGCTATATATGAAAACATACAAAAAAAAGAGGAAAAAAAAACATATATGAAAAAGACTATTTCCTTAGGTGTCTATAGAAGTATTGCCAGAGATAAGCCACCACCTGTGGGCTATCGCTTCATTAAAATGTAACGTTTTCAAACATTTTTCCTCTCATCTAAAACACAGAAGAAAAAGCTTTTATTATTTGAATCTGAAAAAGAATCAACCAAAATTCAACATTGTCCCTAATCATCTTAAAAATGAAATGCTTTTTCAATCAGGTTTTAACCAGATAGCTTTCAATAACCAAAGCTATGCATATTTACACTTCGATCTCATCTACTTCAAAAGAAGAAACTGCTAGAATAGTTTATGGACTGGCACAAGTCAACAAAAATAAATAAAACCTATCAAGTAAAATCGTTATGAAGTTGTAAACTGTAAAACACTTCATAATCCTCCAACATAGAATGGAAGAAAATGTAAAGCCTGACAATTTTGTGTTCAACATTACCATACTCAAGAATTATGTACAAGTAAACCCAAGGTCCAAATTTTAACTATGGTAATATGAATTTTTTAACTTCCACCTCCAATAACAATAAATGATAAGTTTCCCCACAATGTTACAGGATGTAATTAATTTAGCAATGGTATCATCTCCCACATCTGATCCAGTGCCATTTTTGCACCCAACATCTCTACTCTGAACCATACAGAAGTTAGGATCATGTCTTGGGATGTACGGCTGCGTGACAATTCCTTAAGTGGCTGGAGCTCCTTCTGGTTCTAGGGGCTTATTTTGACACTAAGGCAACAGTAACCTGCTTTGGGCTGTAAAAAACCACTCACTTGGAAGGGGGGAGGGGGAACTGGGTGGCAAATAATTCATCAGAGGTCTTCAATGTTAATTGGTCTTGGTTACAACCCCAGTACTGATAAAGGTAAAACCTGGAAAGGCAGACACCTCCTCCATACTGCTTGCTCATAGACTATCTAGTAGAGAAAAAGTATCTATTAGACATCAAGATAGAGGATGTGGTTATCTAGCCGTAGAGGAAAAAGGGTAAGAAGGGGTCGAAGAGAGTGGGCAGCAAAACACGGGATAGTGCATTAGCCCTGAAAGACGACGGGGGCATTATTGGGGGCAAGAGGAAGCACAAAAAGGGGAGCGTGAGTACCTACATCAAGAAGGGGTGAGGAAGGGAAAGACTCGTAGAGTGAGCGCCGCGCGCGTCAGAGAAGGCTGGAGTTGGGATGTACCTACCCGTCAAAGCGGACCGTCCCAGTCTGCTGAGTCTGCACCCGGTAATGTTCTAACAGCAAGCGCACCACCTTGGCGTGTCCATTGCGGGCTGCGATGATGAGGGGCGTGGAGCGTTGCCCTCCCTGCTGGCTGACATAGCCAAGCAGATAGCGGATATCGCTTTCAGACCGGTTGAGTAGCAAGGCGGCCAGAGTCAGCACCTTGCCCTCGCTGGCCGCCTTGTATACATAGCCAGCCAGGCCCTCCATGGCCGCCGCCAACTCCAGCACCCGTTTGGTCGCCACCGCTGCTGCTGCCTTGCGCCCCCGGAGGCCGCGTTCGCCAGAGCTTCAACCCTGGGCCCTCACAGCCCATTCAACAGGGCGCCGTCGCCGTCGCCGCCGCCAAGCCCAGGCAGCAAGCAGCACGGCCTGGGGAGGGCGGAGACGAAGAGGTGGCCGAGTGCCGCCGGGGGCACGTCCGCGACCCAGCCTGGACAGGGAGAAGGGATGGTCAGGGCCGCCCCCAAGGCCCCAGGCGCTCGCCCTGGGCCGAGGGGATCTCCATGGCGGCCGCCGCCCGGGGCCTCAGGCCTTCCCGAGGGCTGCGACAGGCGCGTGTCCGAGCTACGGGTCGCCGGCGGAATGGCGAGAAGGCCGCACGCACCCCAGGTGGCGAATGATGGGCGCGTCTCACCCAAGCCGGCCTGCCAGCCTACGACTTCCTCCGCCTCCGCTCTCTCCAGCTCCAGGAAACCTGCGGGGGCTCGCCCACCACAACTCAGAAGGGCTGGGCACTGTCGATGGCTTCAGGGATCCACGCCTGTGTAGCCCGGCACGATGCTAGACGCTACCCGAGCAGCAGCCCAGGAACTCCAGCGGGGGGAGGAAGGCCAGCCTACGCTGCCAGGGCGGGGAGCGGGGGTTGGGAGCAAGAGGGACGGTTAAGTGGGTGTCTCTTCCAAAGCTGACCGGCGGGAAAAGAGGGCCTTGGTGAAGAAAGGTTCTGGAGCGCGGAGTCAGCCCATCATCACTTTGGGCCGGTACATCCTCAGTGCCCTTGACCCTGGAGCCCCCTCCTCGACCTCCTACCACCCTGACCGTCCCTAGGGAGGGGACGGAGTGGGTGCGCTGAACCGATCCTACTCATGGACTAGGGACCCCTCCTTTGTGCCCAGAGAGGGAATTTGCTGCAGATCAATTTTGTGGACAGGGTGCCCTCCAAAATATGGAGGACATGAGAACCATGGAGTCAGACTGAGAAGGGACTCCACCTGGAGGTGGAGTAGTGTGTGAGAAAGCCGAGAACCTAAGGGAACCCCTGTAGGAAGTGTAGAGGTGTCCTGGAAAGGAAGCAGGGTAGTTGTGTTCAGACAGTAGGACTGATCCTGAGCCTCGCAGAGCCAAGGTTACTTCACATACCTCACAAAAACCCACTGTCATCCCAACCATTGACTAACAGCGACACTGTAAGGCGGAATAAAACTGTCCCATAGGGTTTCCAAGGCTGTAAATCTTTAGAAGCAAACTGCCTCATCTTTCTCCCCCAGACAGGCTGATGGGTTCGAACTGCCAGCCTTCTGGTTAGCAGCCTAGTGCTTTAACCACACTACCACCAGAGCCCCTGCACACTTCACAAGGTTGTTAGATTTTGAAAAGATAATTTATCCAAGGAATACTAAAGGTCTATTGTGGCACTTGGAATTCAGTGATAGACCAAACACAAGGTCCCTTCCCTTCAGGGGCTTTTATTTTGGGGTAGGCAGACAATAAACAAGTAAACAAATGATAAACAGCACCATTTGTATTAGTATCATTGGCCATTTGCTAAAAAGCAAACAAAATAGAGTGATGGGGGTTGGTAATTTAGTTTGGGTGGTCAAAGAAAAACTCCATGATAAGTGACAAGGACAGACTATTCTGGGCAGAGGGGAATATCTGAGGAGAGAACAATCTTGTGAACTCAGAAACAGAAGAAGGTCAGTGTGACAGTGACACATTCGATGTATGACCTGGGGACTTCCTCATCTGAGTTCCAATTCACACTGGCTCCTGTATAGCAACCAGCCTCATCAGGCCTTCCTCTTCCCTTCCCTCCTCTCTCTGCAGTGTGACCACTTGGGTATAAGCTGTCAGCCATGGAGGACTGTTTGCCTCCCTAGAAAAGACCTTCTCCTCACAACCTTTTCCTCTATTATGTCCCTGAATCCTGACTCTCCCATCTGACTTTTTGAAGAAGGTGATTTAAAAGTCCAGACACAGATCCTTTCCCCAGTTTTGTTTTCTGAAGCAGACTTGATTCATTCAGACATTCATTCTGAATAAGAAACTTCCTTCTTCTTCCTCTTGCCCTCCCCACCTCGATTTGGTGGTATAACTGGAAGGGTGCTAGGAGGGGTGGCTTGACCAAGAGTCACACCAGAGAGTGGCTGAGAGCTTGCACTGAGTGACTTCCTCCCCAGATGGAAATAAACCTGTACTCCAGCAGCCTAAGCCCAGGAACAATATCTACTCTTTTTATCTATATTTATTGCTGCTGCCTGGTACAGGATTCTGGGCTCCTCAGAGCTCAATAGCACTTGGCTAACAGGAACCTATTTGGTTGCTTCTGTTTACTTGGTGTTCTGGTTACCTAGTACCAGGCTCTAGGGACCCCTGAACCTTGAGGCTTCAGTTCTGCCTCCTGCTCCCGGTCCACTGAAGCTGGAGGCTTTTCTTCACTCAGCTGCTGGCTGCTGCGGCTGACAAGCCCAAGGTTGACAAGTACTAAGGTACAGTCCTGATGTTACCAAACCACATGGCAGGCCATTAATTCAAGTCCATTGAAAGTCCCAAGGTTGGCAGAGCACGGCAGGCTACTGAACAACAACATGGCTACATGGAGGGTTCAAGCGTGCAGTAAGCTAGAGACCACGCCCAAAGCTGTTTCTTATATACGGGAAGCAGACCACATAACCAAAGCAGCTATTCAGCTGCTCCAACAGATTCCACCATGGAGTTAATTACCAATCTCACCGTGGGGAATAACTACATTCAGCTGCCCAGCCACTCAACCAGGCCCAGCCAAGTTGACACACAAACTTAACCACCACACCTGGGCTCAGAGAGTGACGTTTCTGTGGTCTGGTTGTGTAAATCTGGAGAGAGGATGTGTAAACAGGACAAAGGCCAGAGCCTAGAAATAGTTCCTTGTATGTCTGACCTATTCTCCCTTTTGACAGAGAGAAACAGAGTAACCAAATAATAGTAAATTATTATGACTGTGAATAGTTATATCCTGATAGAGACTGACTTGCTAAAGATAACTGTAACCTGGACAAATTTCCACCTAGACAAAAGGTCGGAGGATCAAGTATCTCCAGCACTTCACTTCCTGGAGATTGGGCGGTGCCTGTGTAGGAGCTCTGGTAACCTAGTGCCTAAGGCATTTCAAACCCACCAGCCACTCCTCAGAAGGAAGATTGGGCAATCTACTTCTGTGGTGATTCCGCCTTGGAGTTGGATCTGACTCCACCGCAGTGAGGTTTTTTGTTTTTGTTTTTGTTTTCGTTTTTACATAAGCAGAATTGGCTGGGCCTTCCTTTTCCTAAGCCAGGCTGTACCCAGCCTTACAGCTCTGAATCAATAGAGTGTCTCAGATTTTGTATAAAATGCATGTAAAATGTCTTTTTCGAACACCAGTAAAAACACTTGTCTCAGTCCTTATCTTAGTTTCCTAGTGCTGTTGTAACCGAAGTACCTCAAGTGGGTAGCTTTAAATAATAGGAATTTATTTTCTCACAGTTTAGGAGACTAACTCATTGCCATCCAGTCAGATCCGACTCACAGCAACCCCTCCTTGGTTTTCCGAGGTGGTATCACTCGTGATACCTGGCACTAGGTAACCAGAACACCAGGTTAGCAGTCAAATGCCTTAGGCACTATGCCACCAGAGCTAACGTTTAGGAGTCTAGAAGTCCCAATTCAGGGCACCACTATAGGGGAAGGCTCACTCTCTCTTGGCTCTAGAGGAAGATCCTTGTCCTAGCTCCTGTAGCCCTGGTGTTCCTCAGTTCCTTGGTGATCTTCACAAGACATCTGTCTCCCCTGTTTGTGCTTCTTTGTCTTGATCTCTAAGCTGTTCCATAGAACTCAGAAGTGATTAAGTTTAGGACACACTGAAATGGCCTCATTAACATAACAAAGAAACCTCTTTTCTCAAAAGGGATTACATCCACAGATATTGAAGATAGGATTCCAACACATACTTTTTGAGAACCCAATTCAATCCCTAACAATCCTGCAAACCTCCCATGTTGTTGTTGTTATATGCTGTGGAGTCGGATCCAACTCATAGCAACCCCTCCTTGGGTTTCCAAGGCAGTGTCACTATGGAAGTAGATTGCCCCCTCTTCCTTCCAAGGATTGGCTAGTGGGTTTGAACTGCCAGCCTTCTGATTAGCAGTCAAGTGCCTTAGGCACCACACTACCAGAAACCTCCCATGTACTATATTGGAAAAGGATGACCCTTGATCTTGAGTGAATCTGGTTGGACTACCATCCAACCAGATTTTCCAGGTTTTCTTCTTGCCTCGATTATACCATCCTCTCTCTATCTCCCTCCTCCCAAGCATTTTTTTTATTTTTTAAAGCAAGCCTTCCAAAAGCATGAAAGCATGATAAGTTGTATTTATCAAGTATCTTTACCTATTTGTTCAGTACTTTTTTAATCTTTCTAGCTCTGGTAGCATAGTGCCTAAGGCGCCTGACTGCTAACCAGAAGGCTAGTGGTTCAAACCCACCAGCCACTCCTCGGAAGGAAGGTTGGGCAATCCTACTTCTGTAGTGATACTGCCTCGGAAACCCAAGGAGG